AGCCTACCTTCAAATAGTATCGAGAAATGTGGTTTCAACACTGGAAATATTTGTGATAGCCTTAAAATGCATTTTCATCTTTATTTATAAAGTTTAAAGCTTAAAAAATAGTGTAGATCGACAGATCTATGAAAATTTGAAAATTGACGGTCCAAAAATGCATTACAAAATAAACCATTTCCAAAACTTCAAATCAATTTTTTTTATTATGTCCATGCATCTTGATGATTAATTTGAAGATATTTGGGCATCAAACGATCTCTTCTAGTGAAATTTTTGAGGTAGGCTCAAATTTGATTGTGTAGAGCCTTAGCTTTATATAAACTTTTCATATATATATACATTACATTATATATAATCTATATATTATTTATATCATATATTATATTATATATTATGTTATAAAAATATTATATTATATAACAAAACTGCTTTTTTTTTAGGAGGTATATAAATGTCCAAAATTTGTTGAGCATAATTACAATTTTGCATTATGTTCTATTATTGTTTATGGAAAGTTCCAATGAGAGAGATTGCATTTATCTTGAGAGAAAAAAATATGAGTTATTGCCTATCATTGATGTGAAAAATTAACATATCGTCCTAAAAATATATAAATGTTCAAAATTTGTTGTGTATAATTATAGATATTCATTATGTTCTATTATTGTTTATGAAAACTTTCAACGAAAGAGATTGTATTTATCTTGAGGGAGAAAAATATGAGTTATTGCCAATAATTAATGTGAAAAACTAATATATCGAGAGAGAGACGTGGGAGTGGAGAAAGTGCGTGAATATCATTAAATATTAGAAAAATTAACTTTGGGGGTAAGAACGAGAAGAAAAAACTAAAACAGTGTAATAGTAGATATGCATACAATGAGAGAGCTTGGATTTATCTTAAGAGAGAAGGACACAAGCTATATTTTATAATTAAAGTGAGATATTAATATGGGGAGAGAGTTACGGGAATGGGAAGAGAGGGAAGCGAGGCCCGTGAGGGGTGGAGAGAGGACACATATAGGACAGAGATGGAAATTGATAGAGAGGAGAGAGAGAGAGTACATTTTTAATTGAGAGAGATAGAGAGTGAGGCATGCACATTGATAACATATATATACTAATTAATAAGGGCTATTAATTAATTAAAAGAGCTTGAGAGAGAAAGCGCATTTTTATTTAAGAGAGAGAAAGAGAGTGCGGCATGCTAGTTGTAATATACATAATAATTAATTAGAGTCATTAATTAATTAAAAAAAAATTGAGATTAGCCTACTAGTTTATATGAACATATGAGTCCAATGATCCAGATTGATTATGGGCCGATCTGATGATCACAGATGTCCGATAGTATTTAAATTTTATTTTATACACATTCAAATCATTTGAACTTTTAAGTGTGTATTCTTCTCATCAAAACGTACTTAATAAAAAAAAAAAAATATTCGTAAAAAAAAGATCCAAATACCTCCAAAACTTTTCAAAGGTATTTTGGTCAATTTATTTCATGTAAAATATTTTTTGATATTTTCGAAGATTTATCTATTTTTGATAAACACACACCTAAAATTTCAAAGTGATTTGGATTTGTAAAAAAAAATTACAATTTAAACACTACTGGACATCTGTGATCATCAGATTGGCCCAGATTCAATCTGAGCCGTTGGACTTATTTGTTTATATGAGCTAATGGGCTAATCCTAGCATTTTCCTTAATTAAAAGAGCTTAAGAGGACAAATATGGACTAAACTAAAAATCAATTGGTAACATCAAAGACACTTAGGCGCATAATTAGAGGGGTCATCTTCTGGTTTTATATGTAAAAATAATAAGTAATAGATGGATATTGCGATTGAACAAGGATAATCCAATTTTTCCACAGTCAAGTTCAAGTATTAGGAATTCAAAACCTAATTTATTTAGAAAAAGTATATAATGAGACTATCTACTTTTAGTGCAAGGTGGTCACAAATAATCTCGATATAAGATTTGAAATTGGGTGGTTGCATTAATTCCATTAACCAAATTCAAAGTTCAAAAGAATTTTTTTTGAAATTTGTAACGCACTCATGCTATAAGATTTCACATCGGATGACTATAAATAATTATGACCTCCTTAAATGATCTTATTGTATGCACTCCTTTTTATTTTTATGAAAGTGCTTTGGTTATGTAAAGCGAATTCCACATTTCATATTAAAAAATCCTCCCAAGTAAATATTGTACCTAAGGGATTAGATGGACGGTTGAGATGAATTGTTCCATCTCTAAGGCAGACATTGACAAACACTCCGGCCGGGTCTATCATCGAAACCACCATCATCATCATCATGAATTAAAGAGATAAAAGGCCTTAATTATGATCATTTTTTCTTGTTTTTTAAACATGATTATGATCTATTTTGTACTTTTTAGACCAGTTAATTTTATTCTTCAAAGATCATTACATTCGCATGTAGAGCTCCATTTCTACATTAAGGCAAAAATGAATTTACAATGATTTGAAATGTGTTTTGGGACGTCAATTTGCTAAAAAGTCCAAGCATATGTATAAGTCGGTAGCTCCCCATTGCGGCAAAAAATTGGTCGAGTGGCATTGCCCAGCCTGGTAGGCCTGGAACAAGACAACAAGAGTTGACCTGAGTAACGAGCTAGGGCTGGAAAACCTCGGGCCGAGGGCCTGGTTATGCAACTTTTGTGCCAAGCAATGTTATTCAAAATGCGAAGTCTTCATATTTTTGGCTTAGACCGAAGCGAAGCGAGGCTCTGGTGCATCAGCGGGCTGCTTCAGCCCTCTTTGAGCCAATTCGGGCAAACTATATAAAATATTTTTATTATTTTTTTATTTTTTCAAAACTTTTTTTTATTTTTTATTATATATATATATATATTTAATTTATTTATATTAAATTTTAAAAAAGTCTGAAGTCTTATTCCGAATCGGCCGATGCAACAAATTGCTTTATTTTTCCCATCAAGCTGAAGAAGACTCCAAAACGAATCTAAAAATTGTTTCCTTATCCCCACCAAGCCAAAGAGGACTCCGAAGCGAATCTAACAACACTAGCACCAAGGCCACAACCAGCTTCGCCAGGCTAGAACCAGTCCAAAGCTGGGCCACATATACTCTTCGGTCTTTAGGTGACATGGCCACCCTATCAGCCATGCCTATTGCCGGCCTCACTCTCTAAACCAGAGTTTAAAAGTTCGATGCTCTAATCCAGAATCGGACGATCCGCATTGAAAATCAATTGGATTGTCCTAGATTTGATTAGAAAATGGGATCCGACGAATCT